GCCCAACCTCCACGAGGCCCGAAACCGTCTCAGTAGCGCCTCTATGCTCTCCCTCGACTCCGTGGTCGGCGGCAAGAAGGACTTCAAGCTGCAGAAGGTCGACCCCTTCTTTACCGACAGTACGGGCGAGTACTACAACTCGTTCGACAAGAAGCTCGAGGACCTGACCGGCGAGAACTCGGAATCGCAGTTCTGTATCGAGGAGTACCTGATCCAAAGTGAGAAGGAATGGTTTGATCGCTTCCGCGATGCTAAACTGGGTCGCTTCAAGTCGCCCACGCCCTCCATTTTCCGCGACAAGCACGGCGCCTCTCCCATGGGCTCGTACAACGATGAGACTGGTTCGCGCATGAGCGCCAGCAGCAACGAGGAATCCAACGAGACCGACGACGAGTTCCTGCTGGGTAAGGACTACGTCCCGCCCACAGGTCTGCGGCGCTGGATGCAAATTCGCATTGGCGATTGGCCCATCTACTCGATCTTCCTGTCAATCGGCCAGATTATCGCCGCCAATTCGTACCAAGTCACTCTTTTGACCGGTGAAGTCGGTCAGACGGCCGAGAAGTTGTACGGTATTGCCACTACGTACCTGATCGCTTCGATCTGTTGGTGGTTGGTGTACCGCTACTTCAAGTCCGTGGTATGTCTCTCGGCCCCGTGGTTCTTCTACGGTCTTGCCTTCCTGTTGATCGGATCCGCCCACTGGGTTACCAACGAGTTCAACCGCGGTTGGATCCAAAACATCGGTAGTGGTGCGTACGCGGTGGGCTCGTCGAGTGGTTCGCTCTTCTTCGCCCTGAACTTCGGAGACGAAGGTGGTGCCCCCGTGGAGGTGTGGATCTTCCGCGCGTGCCTCATCCAAGGCATCCAGTCCGCCTACGTGATCGCCCTCTGGTACTGGGGATCGACCCTGACCAAGGCGTCCAGCGCCGGCGTGCTGACCAGCACGAACAATATCGCCAACTCGTGGAAGATGACCGCCATCTGTTACCCGATCGCCATCGCCCTGTGGGCGGTGGGCATCCTCCTGTTCATGGGGCTGCCCACCTACTACAACCAGGTCCCCGGCAAGGTCGCCTCCTTCTATAAGTCCGTCTTCCGGCGTAAGATCGTGCTCTGGAACTTCGTGGCGGTCATCCTGCAGAACTTCTTCCTGAGCGCGCCGTACGGCCGCAACTGGGGCTTCCTGTGGGGTTCGGCGCACGCCCATGGCTGGCAGATCGTTATCCTGTGTATCGTCTTCTACGGCTTTGTCTGGGCCGGCTTCCTGTTCGTCGTCAGCCGCTATTTCAAGGCGCACAGCTGGTTCCTGCCGGTGTTCGCCTGCGGATTGGGCGCGCCGCGCTGGGCCCAGATCTGGTGGGGTGTCTCCGGTATCGGCTACTTCTTGCCCTGGGTCACCGGCGGATATACCGGCGGTGCCTTGGTCTCGCGCAGTATCTGGCTCTGGCTGGGTGTGCTGGACTCGATCCAAGGTCTCGGCTTCGGTATTATCCTCTTGCAGACGCTCACGCGCTCGCACATGCTGTTCACCTTGATCTGTTCGCAGGTGATCGGCTCAATCGCCACTATCTGCGCCCGTGCCTTTGGCCCTAACAATGTCGGCCCTGGACCGGTCTCCCCCGATCCGACCTTCGGTGCCAGCTCCGTGGCCAACGCCTGGTTCTGGGTGGCCCTGTTCTGTCAGCTTCTCATCTGTGCTGGCTTCTTGCTCTTCTTCCGCAAGGAACAGCTGTCCAAGCCCTAGTCTTCTCTCTCACTCTCACTCTCACTCTCACTCTCACTCTCACTCTCCTTTTTCCCTTATCATCTTCATCATCTCTGACGACATGACGTCATATCGATCCCTCCAATGTACATCTAATGATCCTGTATAGACGTTTCAGCCTATAGGCTGACTAATTGCGCTTCCCGCCCTGACGAACTGCGAGTCGGGGTTCGTTTCCTGCTGTTTTGTTGTGTTGTCTTTTGGTTATCTTGTCTCCTTTTTCTCCATCGCCTCCGAGCGCTCATGGGTTCCTCACTACATCACCACCTATACATGTATATATATACATCGCGCATCATCATTACCATTGATACCCAAATACATCTTGTGTCCAAGACGGTCTTTTCCAGAACGAATTACTTCTAGAGTTCGTAGGTAGTAGGTGAGTGGATTTGCGGTTGGAGTCGTGGTTCTTTGTCTGACACTGGAACGCCAGGGCAGGGGTTTATGGATAGAGCTTGTGGATAGGGGATCGTTTCAACCTTTCCGTAATTCGAGAAAGACCTTGACTCTTCTTTCTGCTTCCAAAGGGGTGGGTGTCCTGCGGGTCGGTAGCTGGGATTTCGCTCTTTTCGTACTGTACGTGGCTTGGAATATGCTGGTCGCATACGAGGCGGTTGCGCTGAGGTTCCAAAAGCTGACGGCTCGAGACAAGGTGTCTCTCGTCTCTCTTTGTGGAAGGATGGGCCGTGGTGTAAATGAAGATTGGATTTGCGCGACGGGACGACTATTGCTACTTTGAGAATGTGAGTCTGTCTTTGTTCGGGGATACGTTCAACACAGAGTCTCGCTCTGACTCGGTCATCGAATTATACTGTGTGTGCAGGTGCACAGCGAAGCTACAGTACATGCTCATGGCTCATGGCCATGCGGATAATCCATGAATTCAGGGAGGGACCAAACAAAGACAAGTTGATGAGTACCTAGTACAGACCACTCAACCTCGTTTCGAGGGCGAGCATCTCTTGAGAGAGGGTTAAGAGTACGTGGGTCTTTATACTGAGAGGTCCCGACCGCACTGCCTTAAAGCAAAGGAGGAAGTGCAGGTTAATTACCCGCGATCAATTAGCTAGCAGCGGAGCAGAGAATGTCAATTAAGAGTTCGCCGTAACCTGGTTTACACCTTTTGAATTCCAGATAGGATGTTGCGTGATGATGACCGGGCATTATGCTGTTCTGGCCTGAGAGTTGATGACCTTGGCCGCGGCTCGATCGCAGAGTGGTGGGCTAGGAGGACCGGCGGGTGAATGCATACATATTTACCGGTCGCAAATCAGCATTCATCGCTCAATCCCTTTCAATCGAGTTGCGTTGGTATGCAAAGGGAATTTGAAGTTGAATTTTGGCATGTAGTGGTTATGTTCACTCCAAAATGTCGAAAGAAATGAAAAATCATCAGGCGGGTGTCCTACGGGCTGCCCTGGCAGTTCCCGACCGAGCATGTCGCCACCAATTCATCAGCCTGATCGAGCACGCACAATCAAGTTGTGCCATCATCAGAAATACAGGTCACTTCTACTTCAGATGCTTCAATACCCTGCGCAGCAATGGCTTTGATTGACGGCTGCAGATGCCTGGCCTGGACTTGGATGACATGCAGTATTGCAGTGAGTAAGTTTGAGATTAGCTAAAATTACGCAACGATGAGAGCCTCGACTCGACCCCCGGCTCAGCATTTCGACCACATGCCGAGTGATCGGCGGAAGACTCTACCGCAATGGCCGGGGGCATCCAAGGCAGATCGACGTGTCTCAGGGGCATGGTCTCAATAAGCTTGATTAGCCTGGCGACGGTGGCCGACTAAGGGCCAGTGAGGAGGCAGCGGGTGATCGATCGATCGCGGTCAGACCTGGGGTAGTCTGGTAGCCACTGCGCAGCTGGTAGGCTGCAACCCTAATCCTACGGCCATGATGGCCATGATGCCCTCGCGCATCATCGAATATTCGGGATCATTGCGAAGAATTGTGCAACTCTCCTGAGGATGACGCGACATCAACACTACGAGTCTATGTGTACATTACAGATCTTACTCTAGACTGCGAAGAGTGGCGAGCCATCATCGTAACGGCGATGTCATCTCCACGTAGTTCCATGACCGCATTTGCTGCCTCCATGACCTCACCCTGACATTCTCCCCCCAAACATCTCATCCCCAATCTGCTATAAAGAGGTCCTCAATTCCAGCTTCATTCACGTTGTCATCAACACCAATCATCTCCAAGACCATCAATCCCATTATCATCTAGCCAATTCTCCACCACCGTATCCCAATTGCCCGATTCTCCCACTCTATCGACGAAATGGCCGACAAGTACAAGCCCTCTGGTACATTTCCCTTCCTCCCCCCCCACCAAAATTTCAAGCCATTGCTAACTCCAACAGAGCACGGTGGTCTCCGCGAGGACGGCCAGCCCGACAAGCGCACCCAGCAGTCCCAGTTCGCCTACGGCAAGGTTGACCCCCACAAGGCCGGTCAGGAGGGTGGCTCCATCGGCGGCCAGGCCACCGGCAGCCACAGCGGTGGCAGCGCCAAGGGCGAGTTCGCCCACGGCAAGGTCGACCCTCACGAGGCCGGCCGCAAGGGCGGCCAGACTCTCGGTGATGAGTAGAGTATACGCAGACTCATCCATCACGATTTGATGAAACGACCCGACTAGGAACATGACATGACTCTCGAATATACGATCAGGGATCGGTACATGTAATTTAGTGAATGAACAACCCATAACTCGCACCTACACTTCAAGGTAGTAGATGTAGTTTGTAAATGCGAAAATTGATAGATCGTGCGGAACCACGATCATGACGCTGTAGCGCGATGCTGCATTCGTCTATCAAACTCGCTTCCATGGCTCGGCGATTTTAGGCTTTTAGCTAACCACGCGTTGAATAGAGCCGATGCTTATGAGGTGACGAATGACAAACAGCGTCGCTCGGCTGAACTGCATCATTTGCAGACATCACAAATGCGGTCCATATGTTAACACATACAGGTCATTGATTCGCTACTAAGCCACCCCCAATAACTACCACCATAACCCGAATACTTGCCCTGAGCTACGGTTGCTCTTATGATATTTCTTAGTAAAGGAGCTTCACGAGTATGTTGACACGGGTGCTTTGACAGTGAGTAATCAATGAAGGATCGAACAAGCTTATGTGCACAATATATATATTCCACACCGAAAGTCAGCAAGTACATATCATAAATTATAACCGTACCAAGAGAATCTCATTTGAACGGCAACCCCGGCCCCAGACACGCATCCGCCCGCTCAAAATACCAATGATGCGCATCGAAGGCCAGCAGATCCGGGATCCCCAGCAGCCCCGTGTTCCCCTGGCTGCTATCCCCATCGGCATACACAACGACCTGGTTCGTCGTGACGGTGGCGTTACCCGGTGTGGTGATGTGGTATTCAGGGCTGATGTGAGCATACCCCATCAGCTGCAGAGGGAGATTCGGTACGGGGTCGTTGGTGTGCGTGAACCGATAGTTCTTGCCCTGGTTCTTTTGTTGGTCCTGAGCGGTGATATACTTGGCCAGGGCGGGGTTGGCCACGCGCGGTGAGGCGAAGGCGTAGAGGGTCGTTGTTTCGTTCTGGTGGTCGCGCAGGTCAGCGGCGGCGAGGGTCGCGATGGCCGCGCCCAGGCTGTGGCCCACCACTACCAATTCATAGTCGGGGTATGAGGCGCGGGCATGAGTGAGGGCTGCAGTTACGTTCGCCCTCACGTTGGTCCAGGCGCTCCAGAAGCCTAACTCGGCCTGGCAGCCCGTGCAGAGATGTGGGTCGGCGTAGAAGAAGGTCGCGTCGGTTAGCCAGTTTCGGACGGAATACGAGCCTCGGAAGGAGAGGATCAGGGCCTGGTGCGTGTGGTCGAGGGCGAGGAAGCCGGCGGTATCTGTTGCAGTGGTGCTGGATTATCACGGCTTAATTAGCACGGCTAACTAAAGGGGCAGACCACATAGCAGGAGTAGTAGGCATACTTGGAGAAGTCTAGCAGAATGGTTGCATCGGCGGCCTCAACCTGGGGACAATTGCCCGCCCAACAGGTCAGCTTCTGGCCCGCCTGGGAGATGTAGTTGGACTCGCAGTAGGCGGCCGCTGCATACTGCACCCAAAAGTCGAAGGACTTGAGGGCATCGGAGGATATTGTCGATGCAGAATCCCGGGGCTGCTGCGAGGGAAGGGCGCTGCAGGCAGGTACAACAGACAGAGCTGCCACCAGGTATCTGGGAAAATGCATGACGATGGCACAGAGTGAACTTCCATTGTCAACAATGAGAAGATGCACCAAGAGATATAACTGTTGTGAGCTCGACTCATTCTTGGACCTGATCGGGGATCCCCGACTGAAACACGCAAAAATGGGCGACTGCACGCGAACGGTGGATCGGTACCTCGGTTACCAGTCGACTCCGATCTCGATCCAGCAATGATCATCTCCCACATGGAGGAATTGGATTTCCGACTATTGCCTGGGAACACCCTTGACTGGGCTATTTCGGGATTTGCAGTGGGGTCGTTTCCTGACTTGTCCGAGGAGCAGGTGCCGATCAGAGGAACCCAGGAGGTTGACGATTTACCGAGCTTATGCTGTAGGAACAAGAATGTGACAAGCCGGGGAAAAAGAATCGGATCTTAGAATAATGATAGAGGTATGATAAAGAGACGATCGGGTAGAAATCTGAGCTTTGCACAAAGACGTCGTCTTAGGTCATAGAACTTTTCCTTTCAACATAGAGAGGAACGTTAGTAAAAAATATCTACAGATTCATAGAACAGGAAACAAAAATACGAAAGAGCCTCAGCCACACGAGAGTATATCACTACAGGACAAGGACGATCTAATATGGACAGATGAAGAAAATATCTATAAGCTTCAGGAATAGTCCAGTGGTTGCATGCACGAGCGCCTGGGGAGCCAGGGATAAAGGATAAGGGTTCTGTGTTAGGTTGTCGAGCAAAGCTATGCGAATATAGAATAAACACAGCATCATCTCGAGGAGCATATTTACCTAGACTATATAAGCAACATTTGGCTAGATGCGTCTCCCCACCGAACACTCGATCCGCATCGTCTGTATCTCTCATCCCACTCATCGCCAATACCGACAATGTCAAATATAATGGACGACGAACTAATCTTTCTTGAGATGCTGCCAGATAACCGGCTTCCACCACGCTGGAGGCACACGACTGCGGACCGTGTCGCGATGGTGGTTGACGATCGAACTGGGACCCAATATGCATCCGCAACAATAGAGAAGCCGTACTGGCAAATGTACACCATTTTTTGCGGCGATGCAGGCGTTCAAGCTCCGAAGTGGATGGCAGTCCAACAACTGCTCTTCGGCATGATTCGCCAAAGAAGAAAGAAACATCCTGACCTGCTACCTTTGATGGGAAGTATCGAGACGCCCGAGTGGGTGCAGTTGTACCGAGATCTGGTTCCAGGCGATGATGTCAAACATAAGGCCTTTGGCCTTCATAAATATGACCTGAGAGGCAAGGAGAGGTTCTTTAGAGGCCAGGACGAGGACGAGCTGACCGAACTGTGGTATAGCACCCGGTATCGACTTTGGCTGGAGCTTAAACTGAGTCTATTGCTTCTGTGCTGGTAAGCTAGTGTGAATCCCTTTGATTAAACTATTATGAATATCAAAGCTACTACTGTAACCTAACTGTCGAACAATTGACCCCTAATTGCAACGATCAAGCTAAAACAATATAATGGACAATGAGCCCATATCCTTGAAGTACGGAGAACGAACACACTATATGCCTTGATGAACAGGCGTGTTTGCTCGATTACCTTCCGCTGCACTAGGGTTGCAAGTATCAGCCGTGCCACTGCCGGTGTCAGACCCTGGAGGATACGTAAGCAGTTTCATATTTCCAATACAGAAGTGCCCGGCTATTCTTCGCGCAAGCGAGCCGAAACCAAGGGGCTGCCATCCACAATACGGGAGAAGTCATGGGCATCAAGACACGCTTGCCGGGAATTGACCACACTTGGCCCTGCTCGGGCAAGCACATCATTCTCGTACACCGTTAGAGATTTGCGAAGCTCGTTTATGCGAAGAGATCTGCTCAGTGCGATGAATTTGTACCAATGTCAGCGACGCATACATCTGCAGGTAGTGCTGGACACTCACCCCAAGGACCGCAAGTCCACTCGCTTTGTGAGATCTAGGACATCGACGATGGCATTGTTGGCCCCCTCTCCACGGACTATGTTTTATTCCCGGATCAGCAAGGCACAATTGCAATCAGGGATCATCATCATGCGGGACCATACACATCGTCATCGTATGAGCGGAATCGCCCATTAGCACCACCCGTGGATGAGCAGTGTCCTGCCCTGGTCGGAACAGCCAGTCGGCAATCCGGATCGAGCGCACTTCGGTGCTCTCGGGCAGTTGATGAACCAGACCTCTAAAGGGCTCAACCCAGTTGGCCGTCAGGGACTTCATCAATGCAAGTCTCTCTGCATTATTACTGGGAACGGGGATTCCCTTCTCATCCGACCAGGACACAATGATCTGACAGAGATATTTGTCTTTATCGCTCTCGTCGAAGTTATTGGGTGTATCGAGCACTGCGGGCATTCGGGCAGTCCCTTGGTCAGCAATGCTCCTGCACGATGACGACGACAGTTACACCTACGGCTGAAAAAGAAGAAGATATTCGAGTCGGGATGCGAGCCTTGGAAGATAAAAGGGTCGATGGTCTCCGCTCCTCCCATCTCGTCCGCCGAATAGAGGGCAGCTCCACCCAGCAGCTGCACGGGCAGGGGGTTCATCTCGTGGCCATCCGGGTACACGATCTCACGGGTGCGGGAGCGCGATCCATCGCACCCGACCAGCAGGTAGCCGGTATACGAGGTCCCATCTTGGAAGTGTGCGGTGACGCTTTCGGTCGTCGAGTCGATTCTCGTGAGTGTTTTGTTCCAGTGGAGGTCGAGATCGGTGGCCAGCAGCTGCCTCAGTCGCACGCGACTGACGCGGATCCGTTCGGCGGCGGGGACGCTGTACAAGGCCGATCCCGTACGAAGATCAAAGAACTGGAAACGCCCCGTGTCACCTCGCACGGCAGCAGCTTTGTTCACATACGTCTCCGGCAGTCGGGCCACGAGATGGTCAGGCAGGAGTTCGCGCAGCGCAGGGAGACCCCAGTGGAGGGTCAGCCCCCATCCACCACTCCGCGCATCGATCGAGCCATCTTGTTCGAAAAGCAGATACGGGATATGATGTCGTTGAAGATACTGGGCCAGCAGGAGGCCACTGATGCCGGCACCAGCGATGAGCACGGGGAGATCAGCCATGGGAAAAGAGGAGAGGAGATGAGGGGCGAGGCAGATGCACGGGCTGTATGGTTGATGACTGCACGGGACAAGTCTTTTGCCCACCCCTTGCTTGCTTTTGACTCGACCTGTCGCCTGATGGACGGCTAGCCTCGGTGGACTGACAGCACTGACAGCCACAGCTCTCCCGTGTCTCTGACTAATATAAGGAAGACACCGTCGATCGTCATGCGGTTGAGACATTCACCCTTCCTTAAGATGTCTCTTTTACTGTGCAGCTGAAGGCTAGGGATCCCGGAGTAGCAGGGATGGTGAGGAGACAGAGGAATACTCAATATGAGCATGTCACCAATAGAGCCCTGAGTACAGTACAACGTTACAGTCTGGCACCACCACGGGCCACTAAAGAGTCCTCGGCCCTGACCGGTCGGAACAAGACCCACTAACTGTCTCTAGTACAAAGTACTGGACGTAGTCTATGAGCCTAACGAAATTTGAGTACAGTGGCTCACGAGGGAAATGACTACCTATTGGTTGGTTATGCCCGGCACGGGATGGGGGCAACCCCGGCATTAGCCCTGAGTCCGTCGTCCGCCGGTGGATGCTTCAATCAATCCATCCCCACCACCGCAGGCAGCAACAGCACCTGCGTGGAAATATAGTGTAACATCGTCTCACGTCTCACCAGTTCGGTCCCTTCTCGGGGAAGTGTAGCCGATACTAAGCACGGCTTAACCAGCCAGTGCCATCACCACCGATTGGACCGGGAGAACCTTCGACCCAGTCCACCTTGCTTTAGTTCCAATCCCTGACCAACTTCGGCCAATTCTTATTTGCAGCAACCGTGCTCAATATTGGCAGGGTTTCTACCTGATTGACACTAGGAAACCTGGCTTTCGCCGACCGGTGAGTGATTAATTAATTAATCATTAAGCCCAAAGAAAATTTCAGGGTCGCCACGCTCTCAGTGATCTCTCGCGGCCTTCTCCTCCAGCGAGACTCGCAACTCCACTGTCATATGAATCCCCCCTTCCTCGAGCCCCCCACTTTCCAAAATCAGCTCCTCGCTGGGAGTCCGTCGGGGGCGTGGAGCCGCTGAGGTGGTGGACTGTAGCTGGGAGCGTTGGTGTTTCGACCAGGACTGCAAGGCATAACTCTGCCTGTCAAAGCGTTTCTGGTCACTGTGCGATCGGAAATCGCGCACCGCGCCCTTAAGCAGAGGTGCAAGGAAGGGGATGCACGTCACAATGTTCTGGAAGGGTCAGTTGGTCAGCAGGGTTGATAGATCCAGCGAAAGGACCACGGACACTCACCCCGACGTTGAACTCGATGGTGCCCCACAGGACTAACATCGTCGAGTTTTCGTCTCCATATGCGACCCGGTGGATCTGAGCCAGGCGCAGGATGGAGCAGATGGTGGTGAAAAGACCCAAGAGAAATAAACCCACCACGCCCGCTTTCTGGGCGGGTTTAATATTGAGCTGCATGAGCAGGGAGATGGGGAGAATGAGGATGACCACGTCGCAGATGATAGTGAATGCAGCCAGTCCATAGAACGTTGGCCCCGAGGGAAGACACGATCCAGCTATTGTAGGGTTCCAGGCCCGTTTTACCTGCCCAGAGTCAGTCGGTCAGTCTGTCTCAACCTGGTCTTTGACATACGGGATGGCAGTTGAAGATCAGCACCAATGCCCCCGCGATATGGCCAATGCTGGAGAAGGTGATTGTAACCCAGATGAGCATTCTATATAGGGTCTTCGACGTTCCGGAAATCAATCGCAGGTAGTTCAAACATAACGAAGCCTTGAACCCTGCGATCCCGACTTGGTAGAATGGCCTACCGGCATAATTGAGCTGTAAACCTTCATCTCAGTTGGTTACTTTCTGTTGGAGCCCCAAGCAGACATACCTTGGTGTACTCGGGCAGATCCTCCTTCGGTCGCAGCTTGAGAGGTAGCCCTAGACCGTACCTACTTTCTACTCTGGTCAGCTAGTTTTCCGAGCGACGGACAAGGAAAAGAAAATGAAAGTCACTCACGAGCTATGCATAGTGCGCTGTATATAATGCTAAACCCCTGGTACACCACGGATGATCAGCCAAAGATAGTAGCCTTAACTGGATGAGCGTACTGTACCATAGTCACCACCATCACATAGTCGGAGGCTTCCAACCGACGAGCGTGGAACCGAATAGCCAAGCGTAGGCAGACGATGATGAACATCGATAGGGTCAGGCCTAAGCATACCCCCAGTATCAGGCGATATTGCGATTCTGCCTCCACCTCGGGCGAGGCATGGTGCACCCAAGTCATGGTCGAACTGGCTGCAGAGGATCAATCGCACAGTGGAGGGGACCACGAGCCTTAACTACATTCTAAATGTTCACGCCACCGCCAACATGGATGCACCTCTCCTGCAGCAATTAACCGTCATATCCTCAGCCCAGGGTGTGAAACTAGTGCGCTGGCGAAGGACGACCGGCCGTCTTCCTGCATGCACTAGACCACCTGATCAAATTGGCAATAGATTGTACCTCATGCAACCATGCAACCATGCAACCTGCCGGTCTAGACCAAATGAGCTGGGTTGCACAAATGCCATCCCTTTGCGTAACGCAATAATATCCCGCACTAAAGAATTTTCCATTTAGAACCCCTCTCCCCGCTGGTTTCGGAACCCAATTTGCTTTTCCTTCCTCGTTCCTGAAACCACGTCAATGATGGAGGAGAAACAGCCCACTTCGCAGGCCTTGTCTGCCGATCGCACCGATGATGCGGTGGAATACCTCCAGGGCCACATGGCCGGGGCTGGCACCCTCCAGATCGACATTCGAGCCCTCCGTCGCAAGATTGACTTCCGCCTTATCCCGTTTATGTTTTGCTGCTATGTCTTGCAGTTCCTGGACAAGGTGATGCTCAATTATGCCGCGGTGATGGGGATGAAGAAGGACCTCGGCTTGGCAGGGAACGAATACACCAACACAGCCACCTGGTTCTTCCTGGCCTACCTGATCGCTGAGGTGCCCAACAGTAAGTCAAACTCCCGCAGCCGTGTACGGTGCTTGGTCGTGCACTTACCCACTTTCCCTCGCTCAGCGTACTGCCTCCAGAAAGCCCCAGCCGCGAAATGGCTGGGAGCCAATGTTACCCTGTGGGGGGTTGCCGCCGCCGCATCGGCTGGGGCCACCAACTACCGAACTCTCCTCACTGCGCGTGTCTTCCTGGGCATATTCGAGGCGACTATCGGTCCGTCGCTGATGTTGATCAGTAGTCAATACTACACCAAGAGCGAACAGGCCCCGCGGTTTACCTTCTGGTACAATGGATTGGGAGTGGCACAGATCATTGGCGGACTGGTTTCGTTTGGCTTCCAGCATGTGGAGCATGCGGCGATGGCAGGATGGCGCATCATGTTCCTCGTCATCGGTCTCCTCACCGTCGTCGTCGGCGTTCTCACTTTTCTGCTAATTCCAGATACTCCCATGAAGGCGACATGGCTGTCCGATGACGAGAAGGTCGCCCTTCTGCAGCATGTCAGTGTCAATCAGACGGGCGTCTGGAGCCGAAAATTCAACTTCAAGCAGATCGGGGAGGTGGTGCTGGACATCCAACTCTGGCTGCTGACGTTGATTACCATCCTGGTATGGTGTATTGGTTTACCCCTTCGTTGATCCTTCCCGAAAGCTCATTCTTAATAGATCTCTGTATCCAGTGGTGTGGTCACCTCCTACTCGGCCACTCTCATCGCCAGCTTCGGCTATCCGGGCCCGATCTCGGCCCTGCTGAACATGCCGTCGGGGATTGTCAGCATCTTCTTCACCCTGCTGGTCGGAATCGGCATTCGCAAGACCTCTCATCGCTGGGCCTGGAATATTCTCTGCACCATCCCCGGGATCATCGGCGGCGCTCTGCTCTCCTTCTTGCCCAAGAGCGACAAAGCCGGGGTCCTGATCGGGATTTACCTGGTGAATGCGATCGTGGCGACCTTGCCCATCCTCTATCAATGGACAATGGCCAATTGCGCGGGCCACACCAAGCGCGCTTTCGGTAGCGCGCTTGTCGCCGGCTCCTTCTCAGTGGGAAATATCATTGGGCCCCAGACCTTCCAGGCGCGAGATGCTCCCGAATATCGGCCGGCCAAGATTGCGGTTCTTGCCACACAAGCGGCCGCTGCAGTCATGTCGGCGGTGCTTTTTGCGTATTACGTGTGGGAGAATCGGAGGCGGGATCGGAACTACGGGAAGGTCGAGGACGCGATGGTGGACGAGGCCAAGTGGGCAGGACTGACAGATAAGCAGAATAGTCAGTTTCGGTATGTGTATTGATAGTGGGTTCAAGGTTGCTGTATATAGTGTCACCAAGATGCGAATGATTCAAGATTCAAGGCTTTTTGCCAATCGGGCAGATATTTGTTGCCTTAGGCCGCAATGTGAGAGTGTGGCTTGCATGTGAGATGATGTGGCGGGGCTACCCCGCCAAGTGTGGCTGGAGCTGGGTACATAAGTTAACTGCCTTAGTCATATAAGACACAACCTACTTAGTTATGTACATACTGTATGTCAGCCACTGAGATCCCTCAACTAACTTAAATGCATGCATGGATCTCTAACCACGATGGCAAATCAACAGCACAGCTCAAGTCTTGATACTCCTCACAGCTGACCAGCTCTTGGTCCAAGATGCTGTGTCACTTTTCAGGTCCCGCTCAGCTCCGCAGACAGTGGTACCTGGCAGCGGAACCATGGTTCAAGCGAAACCCAAAGCCCAAGCTCAATGCCGTTTCATTGGATGGCGTACCCTTAGTCGAGATCAAGCTCGCTTAGGTTCGAGCTCTTGCGCCGATGTTGCTAAGACGGGCATCTGATATCAGCATTGCAGTTCATAGCGGGGCATTGCTTTGTGTTCATTGAATGACAGTAGCGGGGTTTGTCTCGGGAGATCTCCCATATTTCCATTCGTCAATGTCAATCTCCTTTAGAGAATGAAGCAAGTCTCCGGACATCAAAGTAAGAACAGAGTGGCTAGTGAGTAGCAAAGCAACCCGGCTTTCAAGTGAACTAGCAATAACGGAGAGTTCCAGTTGTGTGGGGAGAGATGACTCGAAGTCTTTCATACCCATACAAAGGTGTCCCATCTATACTCTCATCGTAGATCCAGATAACCGGTATCTCCCTGTTCACAATACTACAAATTCTAAAGGAATCCACCGGTTACAACTTTTTTATCATAAATAAACTTCTAGGATCTATAGTCGCTCATGACAATGGAATCCGTCTCAAGCATCTGATATCATCTGACTGATATCATCCTGACTGATGCCATCCTGACTGATGCCATCCTGACTGATGCCATCCTGACTGATCTCATCCCGAGTTATCCCACATCATCAGTCCTAACATTGCGAGTGATACTATTCTGAGTGGCATTATCCTCATTCATATCATATTCACTGGTACTTTCGTGGCTGAGACCATACTTGTTGAAACCATACCCACTGACCATGATGGCCGAAACAATCGAGAAGCTGGGGTACTGGGCGCAGTGCCTGGGCCAGATATTCCCCTCACAGGAGGGCTTCGGAGTAAACATCGAGAACCCCAGACCTAGTTCTAGCGTGTACGAAGTGTGGTCTCCCTACCAGAAACTCGTGATCTCTTATCAACGGGAACCCTTCCTCGTGTTCATGGTGGCTAACCCGGCCTGTTGGCAAGAACTGGAAGACAGCCTTTTTGGGGAAATGATGGCTCTGCGCGAGACACCCTGGAATCGGCGCCGCGGCATAGTCGCGAACGGAGTTCTCCTTCGATTCTACCACTTCCAAATTCCCAAGCCGCCGACTCTTCGAGCAATCGGTGATCCACCATGCAATTATTTCGAAGACGCCAAGGACAAAGGAGAGATCGAGAAGCGATTGACATTCTACAAATCGGCGATTCGGAGTGACTGGCTTAGCCAGAACCTGGCATCTCCTTAATCTCAAGTTCTCTCCTACTTTCCTCATTCTTCCTTGATAGTTGTGCTATGCGACTAGCTTAGGTGACTATATAAATGTGACCCAAAACACATTTCCTACCAAACTACTTCTAACATCTGCAAGCCAGCCTCAAACGTAACCTACATGACGTAGTCCAGATGTAAGCGTCTTGAAAATGAGTATTTGAGTCTATCTCTTAGATGCTCTACATCGGGATATGTTCAATAGCCAGACAGACGTTTCTGATATGACTCGAAATCCTATACAGCGTAATCTAGATGGGTATACATGTACTATTTGTAAATCTGTTTGTACTGTACCCTGCACTAAGCTACTTTTGAAACCACTGCACTGGGCAATGTTACCATATCCCAAATGCTTAGGTGGCCATCTACACCCAAAGATAGCCTTGCAGAGGAGGCGTGCAAAGTCCATTTCCCCTGGAGCCATCTGACCACTTACTGCCACCGTCGACCACCACCTCAAAGCAAAAAGCTTGTTGATAACCCCTCGTTCCCTTCCATATTTCGCACTTGGCGCTTTCTCACTTACTGGAGTCTTATCCACACTCAAAGGGCCGGGTCTGTCGCAATGTCAAGGACGGAAGAACAGCAGTTCACCAACTAGGTGAGGGCGCGGAATTACATGGTGCGACACGCAACTTACCACTTGAATAGCTTTGATCTTGCCGCAATCCACCGTGCGCTGTGTGCAACCCCTGGAGTCAGCACAGCGTCAGATGATGTACAGCGACTGCAGTGACTGTGGATTACATCCTATCGCTCGCGTGTTGGAATAAGTCCACAGAACACCAAACATGGGTTGAAATCGAAACCAATTTGACAAGCCTGCAGACAGAAAGGCCTGTTATAGGAAAGTTGTTACCTCTCACCCGTGGCGAACGTCAGGAGTTGAAAGCCTCCAGAAGCGACCCTCTACGAGACCAGTGGGCCTGAACATTCGAAGCACACTCGGCACGCCTATGGGTCTGTGTTCAACGCGCACGAGGGAGTAGTTGCAGACGTTTTTACATTTCTGGATTGGAGATCGCCGACACGTCGGAATCTCCCACCGCAAGACTTTGCAAACGCAGTATCTGAGCCTGTTGCTAGGTTGCTACCCGACGATTGTCTCAAGACAGATTGCCACAAATCGCCGAGACGACTCACAAAACACTCAGAGGGAAGATCTCTTCATTTCAAATAACGAGGAGGATGGGATCCTGGCAGTATGGGCTGTCGAAATAAGCTTAGACTGGAGACAGTTAGAACGGTGTCAGAACGAATATCATCAGGCTACTAGGTGGGAAGGCAGTGCTCTTACCGGTGTGCTATGTCGGAGATTCTGAGTCATTATGGCTCATACCGGCGCAAGTCACTGCAATGAATAGATAAATACGAGCAGCTAGCAAAATGCCTGCATCAAAGACAGCGGTGTGAGGATCGACTCACCCCGGACCTCCGACGGGGAAACTGTGGGGGCTCAACCGCTCAATGCGTATGGAGATAGCGGAGCATACAAATAGTAGATTGAAAACTAAGCTATGAGTCAATTGCCAGGAAAAGGGCCAGAACAATGGCAGAGCTTGACACACAGCCTATCACATCCTGCGTCAGGATCAATGCATCTCAATGTATGAAGGATTTTGAGGTGATTGGGCACAGTCCTTATCTTGTCAGCGCTTAAGTCGCTAGTTGCGTAATGCTCGAAATCCATCCTTGCTTCTGAGTCAGCCGGAGAGTCAGCCACCACCAAACAAGACTAACAAGACTTTGCGCCATTTGACCCGGCAAAGACGCATTCAATAAGGGTTGGCCGGCCTTGCTTTTCTTTTCTCACTTTTTTTTTGTCTTCTGTCTGATTTCTCGATTTCGCATCTTGCCGGCGAGAGAGCACACCAAAGATGCTCTCGCAAAATTCCCAAGCCTTGACCATAGGCTCTGTGGCTCTCTTGTTAACCACCTTCAGCAGTATTCCCGCCGTCAAGAGTATTATTGCGCGCACCCGCCGTACCCTAACCGAACAAGATGACACCGCCACCCAAAAGGCCGCGTATCGCGACGAGGACGGTGTGGCGACGGAGGAATCACTCCTCAATTTCTCGGATATCTGGCAGCGTGTCGCGATCGTCCTGTTCTCCTCGACTGGGCTTCTCGCGACTCTGGGACTTGCCATCCTGACAACATTGAAACCCCACACAAGGACCCCGGTCTTCGCGTGGCTTCAGTTCGCCGTTTGGGTCGGTACAACCACACATCTGAAGGGGACGTGAGAATTGGGTTTGCCTGGCAGCTAATTTAACCAGCTCTTACTTCTTTTCCAAGGGGCTGTCTTCTTCGTTGAGCCCAGATCGACGGAACGATACACCCTGGGTCACTTCGCCTTCCTGGGAAGCACCTTCACGATCCTGGTCGTCGGCTTCGAACTCCATAGCAATGATCGGACTCGCCACAGTCTCACGGATGACCAATTGTGGCTCAGCCTGACCACAGTTCAGCTTGCAAGTGCCGTTGCACGAGCGCTGGCGAGCATCCTGCTGCCCCGTCGCCCGGATGTCTTCCACGACGGCACTTTGATCGACAGAGAATTTTCGGGATCCGCCTTGAGCCGGTATTCATTTGCCTGGGCCAGTGGCCTCCTCAACTACACCGCGAAGAACCGCACGCTGGCCCTCACGGATCTGCCTAGACTTCGAGCCCAGACAAGAGCAGAGAGCCTACATCCTCGCTTTGAGCAAGCCAAGCAGTCTCGCAAAACTTGGCAAGCCATCGTACGGGCGCACTGGCCAGCGATAATCTCGACCCTGCTTCTCACTCTGCTGGTTGGTCTTTTGAGCATCGGCCCACAGCTGGCGCTGCTCAATATCTTACAAGCCTTGGAGGGTCGAGGCAGCGGCAACTGGGACCCCCTGGGGGCAGTCTCCTGGATTGTGGGCCTAGGATCCTTGATGATTATCTCCTCGCTGTTTGAGGCCTGGCTATTATGGGTAGTGTGTGCGAAGCTCTTCATTCCAATCTATGCCGAGATCTCAGCCCTGGTTTTCGCCAAGTCGATGCGTCGGAAAGATGTCAAGAACGTCCAAAAATCAAAAGAAAAGTCTAATGCTGCAGCCACGACAGGAAATGGATCGGGAACCAAGGAGGAGGAGGAGGAGCTTGACGACGAGGCCTCTGTGAAAAAGACGAGACAGAGCATCATCAACCTGGCCGCCGTCGACGGAAGGCGCATTACCCAATTCACCACATTCGCCTACCTCATCCCTTCCTCTATCTTCAAGCTGATTCTCGGGTGTGGCTTTTTGATCAAGATCCTAGGATGGCGCAGCGCTCTATCCGGCATTGCAGTTGCGGTCCTGGTCACGCCCTTGAACTCATTTGCAGCCAAACGCTACACGGGCGCTCAAGTCAAGCTCATGAAGATGAGAGATCAGAAGCTGGCTATTGTCACAGAGGTGCTGCAGGGGATTCGCCAGATCAAGTTCTCGGGCCTCGAAGCACAGTGGGAAGCCCGGATCCGGGAGGCGCGAGAGAAAGAACTGAGCGCTCTATGGAGGTCTTTCTTTTTCGACATCATCCTGATGGGCATCTGGATTCTCGGACCCATTGGTCTCTCGGCAGTCTCTTTGACAGTCTATGCCATGCTCCATGGTGGACTCTCTGCCTCGGTTGCGTTTACCGCCATGTCTGTCTTTAGTTCCCTCGAGCTTTCTCTTGCCATTTTGCCAGAGATCATTTCCCAGGGGCTGGAGGCGAAGGTCAGCGCGGACCGAATTGATACCTATATGGCCTCATCGGAAAGAGTGGTTACTACTATCCCGGCCGACGAAGTAGCGTTCAAGAATGCCTCGGTCGCATGGCCATCGGAGCAGGAAGCTGGCACCTCGGAGGACACTGATCGCTTTGTGCTACGTAATCTCGATCTTGCCTTTCCCAAGCAGGGCCTCAGTATCGTGTCGGGTCGCACTGGGTCTGGCAAAAGTCTGCTCCTGGCTTCAATTCTCGGGGAAGGTGACTTGCTTCAGGGAACCGTCCATGTGCCCGTACCACCTCCCATCGAAGATCGTTTCGATGAACGGGCTACAAGTGCCAGTTGGATCATCGATTCAGCCATTGCCTATGTCGCTCAAATCCCGTGGATTGAAAATGCAACAATCAAGGATAATATCTTATTCGGACTTCCCCACGATGAAGCGCGTTACCGGAAGACTATCTCTGCGTGCGCGCTGCAGAAGGACCTGGAGATGCTGCCCGATGGTGATCTGACCGATATCGGAGCGAACGGGGTCAATCTCAGTGGTGGCCAGCGATGGCGAGTCTCCTTTGCACGTGCCTTGTATTCTCGTGCGGGCATCCTCATCATGGATGATATCTTCAGTGCTTTGGATGCTCATACAGGCCGTTATGTCTACGAAAACGCACTCACTGGTGAGCTTTGCCAGGGCAGAACGCGCATTCTGGTGACGCATCATGTTGGCCTGTGCCTCTCTCGCGCGGAATATTGGGTGGAATTGGAAGATGGAAACGTCCGCTATGCTGGCCTAGTCACTGACGATAAACGGTCAAATCACCCAGGGCACCCTCTACATGAGGGAGATGGCGGTGATGAGACGGCGCTTCTCGAAGAAGAATCCGTGGAGCAGGTAATTTCCCACACTTCCCATCGGCGACTTAGTACCGTACAACAGGAGACGACAACCAAGCCGCCAGCGGCGAAGAAGTTTGTCGAGGACGAAAAGCGAGAGGTTGGCTCGGTCCGATTTTCAGTTTACAAGGCCTATTTCTCTATCGGTGGCCACAGACTTCGATGGTACATTACGGGGATTGTCTTTCTTGGTTACACTTCCTTCTTGGTCGGCAGGGTAAGTTTTAACACGCACCTTCTTGAGTTTCAGTGTATGCTACCGGACGCAAGCTGACCGACAATGCTCACAACCATAGTCGTGGTGGATTAATGTGTGGACCGGTTCGTCATCGCAGACCCATGCCAGCCTTAAGCAGTAC